TCTAGTCCTAGATCCATGCTCTAGTCCTAGATCCATGCTCTAGTCCTCGATCCATGCTTTAATCCTAGATCCATGCTCTAATCCTAGATCCATGCTCTAGTCCTAGATCCATGCTCTAATCCTAGATACATGCTCTAATCCTAGATCCATGCTCTAGTCCTCGATCCATGCTTTAATCCTAGATCCGTGCTCTAGTCCTAGATCTATGCTCTAATCCTAGATCCATGCTCTAATCCTAGATCCATGCTCTAATCCTAGATCCATGCTCTAATCCTAGATACATGCTCTAGTCCTAGATCCGTGCTCTAGTCCTAGATCTATGCTCTAATCCTAGATCCATGCTCTAGTCCTAGATCCACGCTCTAATCCTAGATCCACGCTCTAATCCTAGATCCATGCTCTAATCCTAGATCCATGCTCTAGTCCTAGATCCATGCTCTAGTCCTAGATCTATGCTCTAATCCTAGATCCATGCTTTAATCCTAGATCCATGCTCTAATCCTAGATCCATGCTCTAATCCTAGATCCATGCTCTAATCCTAGATCCACGCTCTACTCCTAGATCCATGCTCTAATCCTAGATCCATGCTATAGTCCTAGATCCATGCTCTAATCCTAGATACATGCTCTAGTCCTAGATCCGTGCTCTAGTCCTAGATCTATGCTCTAATCCTAGATCCATGCTCTAATCCTAGATCCATGCTCTAATCCTAGATACATGCTCTAATCCTAGATACGTGCTCTAGTCCTAGATCTATGCTCTAATCCTAGATCCATGCTCTAATCCTAGATCCATGCTCTAATCCTAGATCCATGCTCTAATCCTAGATACATGCTCTAGTCCTAGATCCGTGCTCTAGTCCTAGATCTATGCTCTAATCCTAGATCCATGCTCTAATCCTAGATCCATGCTCTAATCCTAGATCCATGCTCTAATCTTAGATCCATGCTCTAATCCTAGATCCACGCTCTAGTCCTAGATCCATGCTCTAGTCCTAGATCCATGCTCTAGTCCTAGATCCATGCTCTAGTCCTAGATCCATGCTCTACTCCTAGATCTATGCTTTAGTCCTAGATCCATGCTCTACTCCTAGATCTATGGCCCAGTGTTTCCTCGCTCAGGCCTCTCCCTCAAGTAGCCATTTTAGTCACAGCCCAGCTATGTCATATTCGAGACTCTTCAGTCACAGGTGTTCTCTCTCTTTCTCTCAGTCTCCCCACCACCACCACCACATTCTCTGTGACAGGGTTTCTCTATGTAGCCCTGGCTGTCATGGAACTTGCTCTGTAGACCAAGCTGTCCACCTCCCAAGTGCTGGGATTAAATGTGTGGGCCGCCTGACTAGATTCTCTTATTTTAAATGTTGAAATTTAGCTAAAATGCTACTGAAGTAAATTTTAGTGTTCTAATTCTATGGAACCAGTAGTGATTAAAAACCAAACCTAGAAACAAACAAATCCAAATAACAAACAGTAACAACAATGACAACAGCACCCCAACAATAAACCGTGCATTTTCAATCCATCAAGAATCTAGTTTTAGTAATTAAATTCTGACAGGGCAGAGGAAAAAGACCAAACTCATTCAGTTCAATTCTTACAAATGGCTGCTGGGTCTCAGTGGGGACTCAGCCCCAGGGGAGTCTCTCTCCTACTTGCAAGCCAATGTGTCTGATCGGAGGAAGTGATTGCAGGAACTGCAAACCATTTTCAGACATACAATGGAAATTCTGCTGTCAAATTTTAATATATTAAAAAGTTATTCTTGAAGAAAGACTGCTAAAGGGACTGGAGAGATAGTTCAGCAGCTAAGAGCACTGGCTGCTCTTGCAGAGGACCTGGGTTCCCAGCACCAACATCACGGTTCACAACCCTCTCTAAGTTTAGTCTCGGGGATCTGACTCCCTCTTCTGGCCTCCACAGGCACTGCATGCATGTGGTTTACATACATACATGCAGACAAATACTTATACACACAAAATAAAAATAAAAAACTAAACAAAGGAAAAGGTTAAAGAAACACTGGTAATTGGAACAGCCTTCTTTTGGGAGTCAGAAAACAACGGACTTAGTGGTGGCGGGTATACAGTGCTGGGAATCTACTAAGAACAGTGTACACATACTTCAAAGCAGTGTCTGTTATAGGATGTATACTGTGTCATCAGGGATTTCCTGCAAGCTCATGTCTATAATCACAGTACTTGGGAAGCTGGAAAAGAAGGTCTGCCAGGCACACCAAGTACCCCGCTAGAGAGCAAGGCTCTGGTTTTATTTGTTTTGATTTTTAAAATTCCTTCAACTAAAACTTACTCCGTGTAAAAAAGTTATCAATCACCTTCTCAAACAAAGTGATAAATATGATTGACTGTTGCAGAAACTCAAGTGTTTTGAAAAACTAATTTACGCACCCTAAAGAAATATAGTTGAGCCGGGCGGTGGTGGCGCACGCCTTTAATCCCAGCACTCGGGAGGCAGAGGCAGGCGGATTTCTGAGTTCGAGGCCAGCCTGGTCTACAGAGTGAGTTCCAGGACAGCCCGGGCTACACAGAGAAACCCTGTCTCGAAAAACCAAAAAAAAAAAAAAAAAAAAAAAAGAAATATAGTTGATAAAATTACAAGGTCTTAAATTTCAAAAAGAAAACTTTAAATATAGTATCAGGATTATCAAGAAAAACAAAGGCTAAATCTCTCAAAAGCAGTGGTGGGTATCTGATTTTTGGTATCAGATTTCAAGTTACTATGTTTAAAAGTATTTTTTTTTAAATGTACAATCAATCCCTGTGGAGAAATGGAACTAGTTTCAAGATAGCCTTTTTTTCAATATTCATCCTATTTTTATTTACATGTGTGTATGTGGGTGTGTGTATGTGAATGCAGGCACTCCAAGAGGTAAAGAGGAACTTGATTCCCAAAAAGCAGGGACATAGGTGGCCATGAGATGCCTGACGTGGGTCTGGGGATGCAGCCCAGGTCCTCTGCAAGAGCAGTATTTCATTTCAAAGTTCAGCCATCCCTCCATATTTCATTTTTTTAAAAAGTTATATTAAGCCTTTTTTCATATCCATAATTTGTTTCTTTCTTTGCTTAGGCACTGTACCTTAATTTCAAACTTCCGAACTTCAATGTTTGCCTAATATCTGGGGTCATGTACTAACTTGATCCCATAAGAATGTAGTCAGCTGCCAAACAGCTCCTGTGGTAGTAAATTCTAAAACCCACGGGGGAGATGGACCACAGTGTGCACAGACATAGTCTTCAGCTGGCAGTGGAAGTCATAGACACAAATTTAACCTCTACGTTTGAACCCTCTCTCTGAAGTACAGAGACATAGCCAGCCACAAGGCTCTCCGCCCGCAGCCCAGTGTCCTGGTTTGCTAAGCACTCCAGGTTACCTGGATAACAGGCTAATATTAAAATATCGGGGCCTGCAGTGGCCTGATCTTGAGTATAGACTTAGGGAGGGGAGACTGTAGAGGAAAGAACAAAGCAATATGATGATCTGGGGCCCATTATAATGAGCTAACGAATATATAAATAAGGCCCCGTATGTTTTCAACTGGAGCCAGCCGGCTGGGATAGGACTCAAATGCTACGGACCAGAGTGCTATGGACCAGAGTGCTCCATAGCATTTGCCGGGGCTCTTCCTGGAATGTCAGAGAGCACCGCGACCCACATAATTCTCATTTTGATTCATGTGGAAAAACAGGGGCAAGAGAGTGACAGGCATGAGAGAGTGAGTACCTTTTGGACTTATTGCTTGTTCGTGGTCTGTATTCGTGGGACTCGTCCTCAATGCCATTTTGCCTTTTGTACCAGTCGAATAGTGTTCGCAGGATGGAGGGCAGGCAGTATTCGGAGAGGGAACTCATGGAGCTAATGACCTTAGGGAAAGAGAGATGCAGGCCATCAGAAGGCTTGTTGGCAAGGCCAGTCCCCGAGACACTGGCAGTTGCATAAATAATCAACCACAAGCAGTATGCACCACCGAGTTTCCTACACATGCCCAGACATCTCTTCCATAAATTAGTATGCCATGTTACTTAGCGTGGCAGACATTTTTCACATAATAAAAATCCTGTGGCTCACGACACCCTTGACCCCCGATCGCCTTTCATTGTAGCAATCTGGTGGTCACTGCACCCGAGTTCTTCATGAAACCACTACCATTGTTTTATCATGTCATCTACCATAGTAACACTGTGCTGTTTTGGTCTTCAAAAGTCTGTAGAGTGCGAATAAATAGAACTCAAGCATATTAATCATCCAAGCGAAACAGGTAAACCAGTTTCCCAAACAAATAACCTTCATTGGCAACAACAATAATTATAATCTCCCAATAAGCAATCATTGGAACTATGCCTCCAATCAGGCTCCAGGTACCAATGAGTAGGAATAGTTTAATTTTATTGCTTTAAAGGAAAAGCTTTTTTTAAAAAAATATTTATTTATTGTTTGGAACCCTCAATAACCAACTTCTGCAGCTAAGCAAGCTCGGCATAGCTTCCTTTAAACCGAAGTGGTTCTGTGAGCAGACTCTCCCAAAGTCACTTCTAAAGCCTTTAGCGTGAGCAAGCAGGACTTTCCCCCCAGAGTCTATTACTCAGTTCCTTACTCTCGTTCTCTACAATAGTTGTAAGTGCACACACATAGCTGTACGTCATCTTTAGTCATGGGTTAGTAGAAGTGAAAAAATAAACAGATTTTGTATTTAGACCATTCTGTGAATCTGGTTATCAGCCTGCCTTTCCGAATTAAAACCAATCTATTATTCCAATATAGGATAGAATATTTTGGGTCTGGAGAGATGGCTCAGTGGTTAAGAGCACTGGTTGCTCTTGCAGAGGACCTGGGTTTAGTTCCCAGCACTCACACGGTGGCTCACAACTATCTGTGTATAACTTCAGTTCCAGGGGATCTGACGCCCTCTTCTGGTCCCCATGGGCTCTGCACACATGTAGTGCACATACACCCACGCAGGCAAACACTCATACACAACTTTTTAAAAGTAAGGAAAATGTAGCCAGGTACAGTGGTACATTTCTTTAATCCTAGCCCAGAGGCAGGGGGAAGGGGCAGGGCAACAGATCTCTGAATTCAAGGCCAGTATTGTCTACCCAGTGAGTTCCAAAACAGCCAGGGCTACACAGAGAAACCCTATCTCAACGAAACGAAACGAAACGAAACGAAACACACACACACACACATACACACACACACACACACTCACAGACACAAACAAAAATAAAAAATAAAAACCTATCCCCCCAAAAAAAGGAAAGAAAGAAGATAGAGATAGATTTAAAAATTGATAGATAGATAGATAGATAGATAGATAGATAGATAGATAGATAGCCAAACAGAAAGACAGATACTTTAGTAAACATTTAAAGACAATGATAAATCAAACCAATCTTGCACGGGATACTCCAGTCGCTGTTACTGCCGCAAACTTAGAAAGGAGATAGACTTACACCTGATTCCCAAACATCTCTGGGTGGAACTTACTGTCCTCAGCTGCTTAGGTTTTCTTTTTAAACTGTATGTATTAACTGTTATTGTTGTTTTGTTAACTTGACACAAGCAATGGTCATTTGGGATGACAGAACTTCAACTGAGAAACTGCCTCCATTTGATTGGCCTGTGGGTTGCTTTGTGGGGCATTTTCTTGAGTAATAATTGGTGTAGGATGCTCCAGCCCACTGTGGGCGGAGTCATCCCGGTCCGGTGGTCCGGGGTTCCATAAGAGACCCAGCTGAACAAGCCACAAGGAGCAGCATCTCCCCATGGTCTCCGCAAACGTTTCCACCTTGGCGTTCCTGCCTTGGCTTGCCTCAGTAGTGAACTATGATCTAGAAGTGTAAGCCAAATAAACCTTTCCTCCCTCCGTTGCTTTGACCATGGTCTTTATCATAGCAACAAAGAGGCAGGGATTCCACAAATTGCCTATAAAAATTAAGAGAAAAATTCTCTGCTTGTTAAAAAAAAAAAATGACCACAAAGCCTGTCTCATCTGTAGGCACTTTCGTTAGCACAGGCGCTGAGAGAGTATCTCAGAGGGAATGACAGGTCAGCAGGGTGACAGATGTGCCTCTTCCATCTCTTTGTCCCTGCCCCTTGGGAACCAGGCTTTTCTGGAGGAAGGGTGGGATCTGCAGAGGCCTGACCCTCAAAGCCAGGAAGGGAGGAAGGTCTCGCTGGCTTGGCTTCTGGATTCCTCCCTTTATGGGAAGTGAAGCCAATGGCCACATGAATCCCAGTTCTGTACTCTGCTGAAAACAGGCAGGCCCAGCACAAAGATGGCCTTGTTTCCTTTAAATAATCATGCTCTTCTACCGTGGATGGGCAGAGACTGGGCAGCAGGTGGAGATGGAGTATGTGGAATCCCAGGCTCATTTCAAAGGGTGTTTTCTTTTTGGGGGTGTATATAAGAGAACTAAATGTACTTTGCAAATGTTCTAATCTTTGCTTTGGCTTTCTATGTGTGAGTAAGCTAAAAGACACTGTCCGTTATGCTTCGAAGAAGGGGGTGGCTTTCCTGAAACCTTTCGTTATCCTTGCAGAACACAAAGAGGGAGACTTCACACATAGATGTTCGGATACTTACTTCACATAGATGTTCGGATACTTA